TATATATAATAAAAAAAATTGCAAAGTGGATATTTCGATTTTTAATAAATATTTTCTACACATGTTCATTTCAAAACTATCTCGTAAGCTTTTGATCTGAGTAGTAAATATTTTCTGAATATCAGTCAAAAATGGGTTTTACTAAAAAACATACCTAATATGTAATAATACAATGGACGTTTTAAAAATTTATAAAGGAAATAGACATCACCTTTACATTTTATTTAATTATCTTCTATTCGGGTTCATCTCTTAAAAGCATCCTTTATTTTGCAATGAGCCCACTTATCTTAAGTCTAAATTACATTATTTATCCAATGCTTCGTTGGTTTTTCTTATTTCAATTCCTCTGTAATTAGTCTAAATAAACGAAACGTCTTTCTGCAATAAACCGACTGAAGTTATGTCTACTAATTCAAACAAAAGAACTGAGTAAAAACTAAATGAGTGGTGAAGCGAGCTTTGAACTATGTCCGCTTAAGAAATAGATGTTAAACATCATTTTATAATAGTTGTTGTTATTGTCATAAGTTATCTTAAATTTCATTGTTGGAAAAAGACACTAGGAGTAACATGCTTTTTATTTTGTGTTTTAATTAATAAATCTATTTTTTTCACAAATGTTATACTCAGTAAACAAATTAATAAATAATTATATATACATCTTAAATAGTTTTTGATTTTCAAATTATAATATATGCGTACTAACTTATTAGAGTAAAATTGAAGAATTTAGATTAAGACGATGTATGTTTTTATTCCTCGTTAATTATTTCCTCTTCCGTTAGTTAGATCAAATTCAAAATCATAACAGGATGCATTTTAATTAGAAAATAATTTGTACTTCATGTGCTTTCTTTAAAAAAACTAGAGAAATAAAACTATGATAAGGTTATTTAAGTAACTATTCACTCTATTATTTTAATGACTTCAGTACGGATTTTTCATCAGTTTGAAATATGTAAGAAATTTCAGTAGAAAAAACAAGTAAGTTGGTTCGATTTTGTTTCTTAAGAAATATGTAAGTTTTGTATATTTTAAAATTAAGATGCGGAACGCTTTAGTAAGAAAAAAAGTTACCTATTGCAATAATAATATAAATTGCATAAAATTTTTAAATCAGTAATTGTCTTCTACTCACAATTGTACTTAAAATTAAATAAAACTTGAAATATTTGCTCCTTTTTTAAAATTTAAGTTTGCTAAATCTGATATGATAGATGCATATGATTGTTGAATTATTCAAAATAAGGATTACCATTTCACATATTTTGCTTAAAAAATTATTAACGAATCAAATGGATAATAAACATTAGAGGGCAAAAAATTTCTTTGCTGAAAATTGGTTTTATTTTTACATTTTATAAGAACTTAGTGATTTTTGATTGAGTACAATTAGATTTTAAGTTGAGTTCAGGAATTTTCTTATCTACAATTCCACATTTTCTGAAGAAAAAAATTTATTCAGAATTTTTACTGCTTATTTCACTTCATACATAGAAATACTTAAAATTCATTTTCCTTTAACAAGTCTTCATTCTTTTGTTTAATTTCGGTGACAATGTCACCATCGCTTGAGGTACCAGAAATGTACATTTCCTCATTGCAACATTCAAATTGTTGTTCCGTAACATTTTTAGGAAAAATGTTTATTCTTTTTTTAACCTCAGACTGATAGGTAAGTTGTCTTCATTATCTTCGTTCTCCCCAATAAAATCTTTCTGCAAAATAAATGCGTGTTGAAAAAAGTTGTGGATTGTTGCTGCTGCCGCTTGATTCTATGATTTTTCGAATAAAACTATTGCTTTTAGAAGTAGAAGTAACTTCTGTGTTCGTGTTTTCTTCTTAGTTCTTAAAAGACGCAACACTAGTTGTCTTCTATAGTGGGACTTCTGAAAGGGAATAACGCCCTGGTACATGAACTTCAATATATATATANGATGATTACCATCAAGATCATTTTGATCCATCAATAGAAAACTATCAGGAATTTTGACCTTTGGTATGCCAAGAGGAAGGATAAAAGCAGGTATATATATATATATATATATATATGTCACTAGTTCTATGTTCGCAGACGAAACCCTTGTCTCACAAGTTTGACACAGCTTGGGAGTGACAGGAAATGCGTCTTTAGTACACGTAGTGTCAAAATTGATGGGTAATTCAATATCATCTTCACATAAGTCTTACAGCATTGTGAGAGGATATTAAACAAGAATTCCAATTACGGATTTCAATATAATCAGGTTCGGAAGTTTATCTTCCATTGTACAAAATTTGCGAATACTTTTGTTTGGGATGGTTTGTCTTGCTTTTAAGATCCTTTTTATATGCTACCTAAGACCTTGTTTGACAACAGTGAGTTTGAAGCAGAAGGGTTTGGGTTTAACAACCTTGTTTGACTTTGTTTTATCATTTCTTATTTTTTACGAATGACTAAGAAATGATAAAAACAAAGACTTTTACATAATACCGAAGTAAATTTACACGAAAACAACTATTTGCATTCGAAATATATATTTTGGTTTTGCCCATAACTTATTTGAAAGTTGTACAAAAATGAATTTAAAGTTTTTAATGCTTTTTTTAGATTACAAGTAACTATTACAAGTCTCAAAGTTACCTAAAAAAATGATGGCATATTCCATATTTCTTCTTAACATCATCGCAGTCATCACATTATGCACTTTGAAACTAGAAGCAAGCATACACTACGAGGTTGGAAATAACACCGACATGGAAGCCGCACTTCTTCTGTACCAAAACTACGAAAAACGAGATGAAAAGATGAAAAATAAATTAATCACAGCACTTTGGAACTACAGAACCAATTTAACAGACTACAATAGAAGAGAATTCGTATGTACTTTTTATGTTTTGCAAGATTTTCTAATAATCTTTATTAGAAATTAAAATATTCCTATAAAAATCATACAAGCAGTAAGACATCACTTCCATGTCAAAAAAAAAATTATTATCTTAATTTAAAATTTACTAAGCTTTTAGTCCACACTGTAAAGAAGGGTTTCTCAACATTGAGCAAAAATGTGCCAAAATAACTCCTGAACAAATAATAGTTGAATTTGAAACTCCACACTGTAAAGAAGGGTTTCTAAAGAGTGAGCAAAAATGTGCCAAAATAACTCCTAAACAAATAATAGTTGAATTTGAAAACCCCACACTGTAGAGAAGTATTTCTAAAGATTGAGCAAAAATGTGTCAAAATAGCTCTGGAACAAATAATAGTCGAATTTGATACCCCACACTGTAGAGAAGGGTTTCTCAAGATTGAGCAAAAATGTGTCAAAATTACTCCGGAGCAAATTACAGGTGAATTTGAAACCCTATTTCTTAGAAATTAAAACACCATCAACTCATTTTTTAGCAAAATTGATTGTGTCAAAAAATATGTAAAGAGAGAAAAGAGTAATGTTCGTTGGCTGTTGGCAGGTTTTGAACCAACGACATCCGGGTTCGTAGTAAGATGCACTACCGTTGTTCACCCTTGTTCAAGAAGAGCTAGGAAACCTTGCATAGTGACTTACCCAACAACACATAATGAAATATTCATTTCCAATTTCAATGGTACTAAGGTTAGAAATTTTAAAAATATAATTCCGACAACTTAGTCACACAGGAGATCGGTAATTTCAATGTCATTTTTAGCTTATTTCGCAATATCTTAAGAACTTCTAAGCTATATATAATATAAAAAGATTCCAATCTGGCCCTGGTCTGGGTTGTACTACTATTCTGTGAGCTTCCACCTACAAATCCAGAGATCTTTGTTTGGAATGCTGCCGGCAGGAAACTAACATCTGTCCCTCCATATGTTTTTCTTTTCAACTATAAGTATGTGATGTTTCAATTTTTAATGCATGGGGTTTTTAGATTCGATGATTATCTGTTTCAGAGCTATTTTGAGGCATTTTATCTCAATTTTGCAAAACTTCTTTTTACGGTTCAGTTATTATCCAGTTTTAAATAAAAAACTATACAAGTTTTACTATTGTAAGTTATGCTATAGTATTAATATTATCTTACATGATAATACGATTTTACTAGGAATATGATACTATATATATTGCTAGGATGCTCCTCACCAGCCCCCGTGGTTGCTTTTGACTCATGGTTGAAAATCAAAGGGGAAGAACGGTTTAGGAAATTTTTGAACTAAAAATACGACTGGATGTCCATCTGCTGTATTTTGAGGATTACGAAGTTTTTCCCAGAACCAGCTACTTTAACCGGTTACCCAGTGTCGGGTAAAACTCACTTATGCTTGACAGAACCATGTTCAGATTTACAGTAACGCTTAAACTATTCATGAAAATAATTGCAATTTTAGAAATGCATGTATTCCATCAGTTTCTTAATAACTAAGCTGAAATTACTGGTTGAAGCACACTGAACTTTACTCTTGTGCAGAATTTTAACTCAGTGGAATTATGGTAAAGTAGTCACCTTAATTTACTCATTTCACGCAATTTTATTTTATTTAATTTAGTTAATTTATTTATTTACCACTACACACATAAATAAGTTTCGGTTGTTTCAGTTAATTATTCAACGAATTCAAATTTTCGTTAATTAAAAAAATTACAATTATTTTCTTGACTCTTAGAACTGGTATTAAATTTATATTTTTTATTCATATCTTTAGATTCTGACTTTCTTTTTTTAATTTGTTCAATATTCAATAAGATATTACCGAAATAAAATGGCAGGCATAATCATTTCAATAAACATATATTTCATTATAATGAAGCTTACTCAAAAATGAAGAGCTTCTTCACGCTTTAATTTTTTTTATCCTTAACNAAAGGAAATCTAATTTGTGCAAGACGCTAACTACGTTAGTTATGTACTCCTTAAACTAAAGATGAAATCAAATCAGTGAAGAAGAAATTATTGAGAAGTTACCGCGTCTGATACTGCAAAAAGAAAAAAAATGAGAAATCGAATTTTAATATTTGAGAAAGCTTATTTTTCATCCACAAACACGAAAAAAAAGAAGAAGAAAAAGCTGAAATTTTTTTCATTAACAATATTATTCAATACTATAACACAGGGGTCCCCCCCAACCCTATGCCCGCGGGCACCATGGCTCCCGCCGATCGGTCTAGGTGCGCCCGCTGCTTGTGCCCAACGATAAAATATTTCAGTTTTCCATTTCCCCATAAAATGTTATGCAAATACATACATAAGTACGCTAGCTCAGTAAAGGTAAAGTTCTTGATAGATTTCTAGATTTAACTGAAGAAATAAAAAATTATCTTGGTGCCTAAAATTTTTAGATCTAAGAGATCCTCTTTGGCTAACAGATTTGTGTTTCATAACGGAAAAATTAAATAATTAAAACTTGGAGCTGAAGGGAATAAACAAACATATAGCAAGAATGATAGGGGCTATAAACTCGTTCAGAGCTTTTGTGGATATCACATTTGAAAATGAAGTCTCTTGTGCATTTTCCATACATGATCAATTTGAAAAGCGCTTTCAACAGTTTAATATCATCGAGATATTTCATCACATATTTTGTAAATCCTTTTACTAACCAAATAAACGTAACCGTAATAGCAACACACATTTCAGAATTTCTTCAAGTAAGGCGAGAAGTGGAGATAGAAATTTTGGATCTTCAGAATGACATTATCCTCAAAACTATTATATCAGATGAGAAATTCTGGAATATAGTTGTCAGAAATGAATTTCATTCTTAAAAAGAGCAGCATATAAAATAAAGTCGCTTTTTGGTTCCACATACTTGTGTGAATCACTGCTTTCGACAATAAATATCATAAAATCAAAATATAGATCCCGACTTACAGATGAACACCTTGACGATTGCTTGCGAGGAGGAATTTCACCATATTCTCCCAATTATGAAGAGCTGGCCAATGAAATGCAATGCTAAAGACCACATTGACTGTATTTTATATACTTTATAAATAATTTTTATGCTTCGTATGGATTGAAAAAGCAATTTAGTAATCATTTATTTTACACAAGAATATTAATACTAAATAAATTCCTAAGTTAAATTAATTTTTAAAATAAAGTTTTTTGAGCATTATATGTAGTGTGTATTATTACCTACGTCTATCAACTATAAATTTATCTAAAAAAAATAAATGGTGCCCGCCATTCGACCGATATTCTGGTATTTGCTCTTAGGTACAAAAAGGTTGGGAACCCCTGCCTTAGAGTAAGACATAAAAACCATTTATCGGCTAAATTTATTTTATAGTTCTGTATTTTTTACTAAATGTTTGGTTATGAAAGCTTTATTTTGAAATCCAGAATTTCCGGTAAGCCATTATCATATGAACGGAAAAAATTACCAAATAAATAATTTAAATACCGCATATTTCGGAGTTTATAACCAAAATTGTGCGTTTCGTTTCTTTCAGAAATGTCATTATAATACAATACTGTAACTTTATCAGAATTTTTTACACCATGTTGTGTATGCGCAATTAGTATTTTAATTAATATTAATTAAGTTAGTTTAATTAGGAAGCAAAAACTTTAACATGAGCGCTTCAATTGAAAAATAACTAAGTAAATAAAGAGATGACAAAAAAGTGAAATTATAGTGTTTCCAACTATAGTTTTAAGTATGAAGTCGAGTAGGGCTTGCTCTACAACCTAAAAACAGCTGCTATATTTTAAAAGAAGGAAAAGTTTAACCGATAAAAATGCCAGAGAATTAAAATATGTACAGTAAGCAAAAGAAAAAGATTGTCATCCGGAATAACTTTTTAACTAAATATTAGATTTTCGCAAAAAAAGTGCCAAGCATATTAATTTAAATAGTCAACCTTAAATATACTAATTAATTAATGCTTACTAATAATTAAAATACTGAGTCAAGCACAAAAATCTACTTTTCCTGAATGTTTAATTTCTCTCAAATATTGATATCTGTTGTAACATCACCAAATGATAAAACGCTCAAAAAAATTCACAATTACTCATATATACTTTGCATTCTAGCCAACGTTTAAAAAATTTTTTTTTTCTTTTTTGCTTTGAAACTCTAAATTAGCAACCCCGCTGATCAATGACCAAATTTTATTAGTAATTCTGAATATATTAACTAACGAAAGACTATTAATTACATTTAAAGTAAGTAATGTTCTAAATTGCATAATAATTACTTAAAAACGTTTTGTGAATTAATGAATGAAGAATGATTTTTTTCATTAAATGATTTTAGCAATATTAGTCTTAAAATTGGGTCTTAAATCAAACAATGAAATTCACATAACTGGAGTGGTATAGTTTGCATAAGCTGAAAATGAATTAACTGAAATAGGTTTTTCATTAAAATAAAAAAGAAGAAAATAAACGTTGAAAATAGTTATCAGAGACATACTTCATCAGTGTTGAATTTGAATACTTTTATTCAATGTAGATTGGTACTAAATTGCTTTCATAAATGCATCTTATTCATAATTCCTTCATTTTATTATTATACAAAACATCGTTTTAAAATTTCATTCTTAAAAAGGATCTTAATAAAATAATTTTATGAAATGACTGAAATACTAAATAAATTATGAATTCTTAATTGAATATAAATTTAATAACAGGTTTCGAAAATCATAACTGGTTAAAAAATTTAATAACACTCGAAAACCATAAGACTTTTCCTCGGAACTCTAGGGTTCCACGGAACACCTTTTAGAAGTCGTTGGTCTACGCATATAAAAACGAATTTCGATAATTACGGTAACATGTATGTTGCGAACTAAGGACGGAACATATTTCCAGCAATGGTGAAAGCTCTACTTAGTTCGAAAAATTATAAAATCTTTTTAGTCCAGATGTTTATCGTTTTGTAGCAAATTTATAATTTTTGCAGCTCAAAGATGTTATTACTGACATGAAAGAAATCTTGCTCAAAGCTAAGGTATGCAGCTACCCGTCAACTTTCCTCCAGCCTTGTACATTAAAATCAGAGCAAGGTAATTATAAAATTCCATTCCCCCAAAACCACAGTATATAATATTCTGCTTTTGAAATTTGCTGAGGGGCGTAAGATGAAAATATTTTAAACTGTTAATATTGTAACTGAACTGCGATGGTTCAGTGGTAAAAGGCACTGAGCTATCATTGCGAATGATTGGGATTTGATCCTCAGTAACGACTTGGAAAACCGCACCCAGCTTCATATCGATGGGTACCAGCTGAAATAAAAGCGGCTTGTGCGTAATGCTGACACTGCTGTTGTTCTTCAAATTGTAGGACCATAACTTTATAGCTTATTTGGAGAATACTTAAACATTGTAACTATTTTCGCATTTTTCTCCAAATTCGTCAGATCAACATTATTCATTAAGGTGCGATCAAGTTGTTTAAGGTGTTTTCAAATTTATTTAGCACTGAGAAAATAAGTATGATCGAAACTACAAAATTTGCGCTGTTTTCTGGTTCTATAAGAACTCCAAAACGATCATTGTAAAAACTTTGGTGTATTTTGGCCAAAAATGGTGGGAACCAAAATGTGGTGCAGTGAAACACCCTCTTGGTCTATTGTTTTGGTATACCAATGTTCTTTTACACTACTTGGTGAAAAGCAGCTGCTGCAATTTTTGTCATTCAATTTTGCTATACAACAATATTAAAATTTTTAATTACATTAAAATAAGACTCACATAAGAGTCAGTAAAGTTATTTTTACAATACAAAGTAAGAATCAGTCATTTAGATGGTATATACACATTAATTCTTAAAGAAAAGTTAGTTTGCAAATCAAACATCTGCATAACACAGAGAGAATTTTAAGACGAATTCGAACTAGGCTTAAACAGACGGGGAGAAAATTGAAATTATGCATTATTAAAATAAGTTAAGGCAGTTCTCAGAGATTTAAAATATAATTTTCCTTATTACATAACCAAAAACATACATACATGTTTGAAGGTGAAATTTATTCCCATTTATCAATACCAGCGTTGAAAATGACATCAAATTCTCGCCAGTTCATTCAGATTGTAAACAAACTGCTCGCAATATTCCACTTGGTGTTTCTTGTTTCAAGGAGTGCCAAACATTGTTGTTTTCAGAAAAGTAAGGAATTCTCGTGGTGTACAAGTTTGAAAATTTGGTGCAAGTTTATTCAATCTTAATTATTTAGACTTAAATTTCCCTGTTTAAACCGGATATGAATGTTCTATTTAACATTAACCCGGAATAAAGTGTTCTATCCCACAATTTTTCTAGTTGTTCAACATCATATTTGGCGAGATATTACGACATAGTGTTTACAGTATAGTTTTTAGCCCAGCACTTTCATACTGATTTAGGTTATGAAATTTCCAATAAAATATATTATTATTAGCCGGCTCTTCAGTGCTTAGAAACTGCACTGGAAGACAGTAAACATGGAATCTTTACTACCATTATTACGTTTGGATTAGAACTTAGACCAGTAATTCGAAAAAATTATAAATTTTCCCGATGCGATATTATGTGATGGCAATTTTTTTCCTGTTATAGGTAGTATAAAATGTTTTTAATGACCTCCAGACCCGACTTTGTTTGTTTCAACTAGTTTTCATCAGAATACAAAGATTATAATTTGCTATGCATTTAAGAAATTCGAATATAATGAGGAACATCAAGATAATTTGCATAACGTTGTTTATTATTATATAGTCATTACTACTTTTGTAAAAGTTCTGCCAAAAAGTTTATAGCTTTCATGATTAACTTTGCATATATCATGAAACAGAAACATTTTTTTCATCATCGTCAGTAAAACTATTCACTGTTTAAAATTTTTAAAAAATTACACGAAATGATAAATATATATAATAAAAACATAGTATGAATTTAAAATCATTTAAACAGTGCAAGAAAAAAACCAAATGCAAAAATAAAGCAAAAATAAGAGAATAGTAAGCAAACAATTCTTACAAAAAAAGTATAACAACTACCTGGCTTGAACCGTCGAACTTTTGAATAACTGATACATGGGTTTTTCCTTTGCGCAATGGCTGTCAAGTCGAGTGCATGATTTGACTTCAAGTTCACGCACTTGAGACTATTATTTATGCCCCCTTTTCTTATGATAAATTTGAAGAATTTTATGAAGAAGAAAAAAATAATTAGAAATGGTAAAATTACTTGATTAAAAATTGAGTACATAATCGTACTTTTATGAACATCGTGCTGCATTTTTAATAAACCTTACTAGAAAGCATAGTAAACAGATTAAAATGTTCATTATTCGTATACTTGGTGAAATGTATTTCTATCACAACCTTAAATTAAAAAATAAGTGATAAAATAAATGGTAAATTCTGAAGAATAGTCTGATATATTTTATTGAGTTTTTAAAAGTATGACATGAAAACAATTTCTTTATATTGATTTTATTTAAGTGCTATATTGATTCCTGCAAATGTGTGGAATGAAAACTGTAATTTCAAAAACCACAATTTCCGATTAACCATAACCATGACAAACGCAAAAGTGATCAAATAAATGGTTCAATTTTTGATATTTACTACCGAAATTCTAGTTTTCTTATCAGATATGTCTATAACATACTATGATTTTATTTACCGAAATTTTTTCTCAGCAATACTTAGATGTAATTGTTTGGTATAATTGCATTTGAAAGGGAAAAATAACTGGTAATAATTATTTAAAATATGCATTAAATTTATAATTATATTTTTTAAAAAAAGTACATAAATCATTTAATAGACATGTTGTTTATTCAGATTATCTATTTTGAAAATAGAGTTTCTGTTAAAAAAAATTCAACTTGAAATATTACACAGAAACAGATCTGTTTAGTATAAAATGTTACATCTCTTGCAAGGTGTCAAATTTTAAAATCGGATTTGTATCATCTTTACTATTAAGCATTCAGAAACTGAGATATATGCGCAAACGAAATCAATTTCATTTTATGCATCCATTAAATTTTAATTTCATGTAATATTTGATTTTAGATGTATTTGATGTAATGGAAAAATCACGAAATTATCAGGAACTCCAATATTTTTGGACTCAGTGGCGAGATGAGACGGGAAAGAAAATCAGAGCAGATTATCTTCGATACATTGATCTTAATAATGAAAGAAATCAACTACTTGGTGAGATAATCTTGATAATAATAAAATTTATAAACAGAAGAGAGAGTGCAAAATCATATTTTTTTTCACCAAAACCCCAAAAATATGTCTCCATATATTAATCTATAAATATTCATATTCTCTAATATATGTTGTTTAGAGTCCTTTAAAAAATGAAGTAATGAAATAAGCACATTTGCAGTTACAGATTTCCTTTTAAGTGAGAAAAAAATCTTTATCTTGGTACAAACTCTAATGAATCTTTATCTTGGTACAAACTCTAGTAAACAAACTGTAATGAATCATTTGATTCATTTCATGACCAGCGTTATCCAGATGATCGGCTAACAATGTTTAATTTTGTAATCTAGTAATGTTGAACCCAAAAGCAGAAAAAAAGAAATTTTTAATCACTCATTGTACTCGAGCCACCAGTGTGAAGAACTTTCTGATGGATATAACCTACATTTGAGCTACATGTAAATGAAAACAGTGAGAACAGGCAGTTTTATTCGAAACGACCAACCATCTTTATGGCTCGCGTTATTAGAATGTGCTTTATTCGTGTAATAATTCGATAACCCTAAATCGAGGTAAAAATGATAACCCTAAATCGAGGTAATAGTGATAACCCTAAATCGAGGTAATATGAATCAGTTTGATGGGATGCATTTCTAACAATCACCTTTCATTATCTTTAGTTTTCAGTTTCATCGTTTTACCAAACTGCTTACGTTGTTTCGCCTTTGCTGTGGTTGTTGTTGACAATGCTTCGTCAGATTATAATGCGATTTTCAATTTTTCATAACTTAAATACTTAAATATGTATGAAATTATTGAACACTATGTATCGTAAGCTTTACAAGCATTGCTAGCAATTTAATCATATTAATTATTTTATCAGGTAACTCAAATGCGCAACCTAGATTTGCAGTAGATGAAAAATACTTTTTGATGTTGGAAACTCTCAAGCCATTATACAGAGAACTACATGCTTATGTGAGACGAAAGTTAATTGAAAAATACTCAGAATCTTACATAAAACCTGATGGTCCTATACCAGCCCATTTATTAGGTAAAACTTTCGTAAACTTTTTGATTAACTTTTACATAATCTGCTTAATGTTTCCACAAATATTATTGTATTTTTTAATGCTATCTTTTTAAACATTTTTGTTTATATTTCAGATAGTATCTTTGCTACCTGGAAAAAGCCATTATTTTCAAAAAGCATATTAATCAAAGAAAGAAATAATTTGCTTAAAATTTATGAACTTGCAACATATTAATGAGTTCTTTTCTAATTTTAGGGAACTTGTGGGCTTATTCTTGGATAAATATATATGACCTTGTAATACCTTATCCGAATAAGAAATCGGTAGACGTGACAAAGGCAATGCGTGAAAAGGTAATTGAAAATATGTGTTATTAAAATAAATGATGGGTGACGAAAATCTGTACCATAACCCTTATAACTAATAAGTAAAGTACTTGAACATGATTCATGGACTGAAAAAATTCCGGATAAAAAGTACTGGCAGTCTGAATGCAGCTTATCTATCTTACCATTCAATCCGTTTTCACCTTAAAATTCATGCCGTAATTTTTACAGTGATATTGCTTATAATACACGTATAATAATAATGTACTATGATAAAGTTAATATTACTGTAATCATTATGGTATTTTATGCTTTTTGTTCTGTAAAATGTTGCGATAAAATTAAAATTGACTATAAACGGCAGCGGCGCAGTACTTTTTACCGTAATTTTATTAGGAAGCTCTCAAAGTGGAACCATGTGCTACAGGTATATCATTCAATCGGTATACATTGTACAGGTATACTTCGGTATCGGAATATGTATCGGTACACATACTGCAAGTCTATTATTTTCTTCTATGGACTTATTGGATAAGCACTCCCCTCTCGTTGGTAAATCTGTTGACTAGTCTTTGTCCTCGAAGATTTGTTAAGAGATCAAAATGGGCAAACACCAGCTCAGTTCTTTTGTTGCTTCAAATAAATAAATCAAATAAATATCATTTTTAAGATCGAGACAAAGACACAAGTTAACACCGTTATAACCAGCTATTTTTTTAGTCTTCGTTGAACTTGTGTATGTCATTGTATATTGAAAGCTCAATTTGAAGTGTCATATTCAGTGTTCAATGTTCTACATACTAATTAAACTGCATTTAAGGTTTTTCTCAAAATCACCTAAGGAGCCTAGTGGTACCGGAAGCCTTTATTCTCCATTTCTTTATCGCGAAAAGGACATTGCTCATTGTGTCTCTGAAATATAGATACTTCCTTGGAACTGAGTGGTATTGCTCATTTTACCACGAATCAAGCTCGTCTTCTACCAAACAGAGGTAGCGTTCGCTGAGGTGGCGATTGAAAACAAGCAATTGTCAACAAGAATGTTAAAACAGACTTTGATCTCCAACTGACTTATTTGCCCAGCCTCAATCTTAAACTTCAAATAGACAGCAGTTTTTATACCTTACGTAATTTCATTACAATTTGATAAAATTAAAAAAGGGGTAGATTATTTTGTGTCCCCTAGACCGATTTATTGCTTTTTCTTGCATTTTTCATCGATTGGTAAACGCATGTATAAAGCTCTTTTTTATCAGTCTGTTGGCCCAAAGAGATCACATCGGAACTCTGTGTTTGAGTATGCGTGCTTATTTTTCTCACTTACACCAACACAAATTGTTTTTCTTTTTGTCTGCAACTACTTGTATCACTCATAAAAGTTTATATTTTTTAATGAAATGCAATTCAAATATGATCGAAAGTATTTATTATTGTTTTAAATGGAAAAGATACGTTGGTAAAGATAACTTTCAGGGAAACAAAACGCTATGGTAATACCTTACACAACAAATTATATATTTTAAATAGAACAAATAAGAGGAAAATTGCAAGTTCATAACATTGTAATTTCTCCCGATATTTATCTATATTTTCTGAAATTAAAAAGTTTCACATGATTAGTTTCTTCTATTATATTTGAAAAGAATATGTTTGTTTAAATTTGCAAACAAAACCTTGTTTTTCAAAAAAATTGATGTTACAGTTAGAACTATGGTTTTTTTGACATAACAGCTCTTTTAAGAACAATGGCAGATCATAATATAAGTTTATGAAAAAAGGTCAGAAATAAAGTAACAGCATGGTAGCATTTTACATTTAAACCATTTGACCATTTGTAATAAAATTATAATGCATATTTTCATAAAGCACTGAAAACATTTTCTGAATTGGCATTTTAAGAACAATGGTAAAAGTTGCTTGTGATCTATCATAAATATATTTTGTATTTGATGGCAGAGAAAAAGGATAGTTATTCATCATCTGTCCTAAAAATAAAAACAAACAAATCCTACAGAAGTCCAGCTGTCCCCCTGTGACGTCATGGTAGTACGCGGTTATTTCTTTTTTTTCCAGTCTTTCCTCCATTAAATTCGGAGTGATAGTTCTTAAAGGAATTGAAGTATCTTAATTTCAAATTGCAAATTAGTGCTTTGATGCATAGTGCACCCAAAAGCAAAACAACTGACACCACTTGCAAATGAATTTTTCGCCATAGAAAACGAAAAATTGTATTAAAAGAAATAAGTTGAAAGATGATGTAAACAAAAAAAAAATAGAAATTAATACAAGCGAATCTTCTACGGGAGATAAAACAACCTCTGCAAAAAACTTTCGATCGTAGTAAACCAAAAAATCGAAATTGTATGCCACTTTGGAATTTCTTCATTAAAAAATTTAACAAATTTAATAATTAACTTGCTTTCATTTCTTCCACTATGAAAAATTGAACTCCTCCGATAAGTTGTTATTAATTGATGTAATGTTATTAATTATACAAATATATGTTGTTATTTATATTATGCATGTGATTAAGTCGTTATTTAAGGCTGTTTTAAATTTAAGAAATGGGACGTAAATACCTACTTAAATTTAAATATTGCACCATTAAATGTAAATATCTTTATATTTCTATACAATTTAAAGCTGGTTTTCGGAAATTCACTAAAATGCCACTAAACATTATTTCCCACTAAACTCTGCAATCTACATTAATAAACGCTTCAAAGCAGTTCATTCATTTTATTTCTGATAGATATTGTAGTGTGAGTTTTTCTTTTTTGTTAAGAAAAACTGTGCAATTGTATGAAAACACTTTTGGCGAAGTATTTGATGCGTTTCAAAAGGAGTTGAATTTCATATAAAAAATAATGTGCAGAGAACAACGGGAGACTAATTTGTTCTATTCCTTCTCATTTTTTAGAATATAACTCCTCTGGATATGTTCAAGATGGCCGAAAAATTCTTTATATCTATAGGCATGATGCCTATGCCAACAGAGTTCTGGAATAAATCCATTATCGAAAAGCCCCTCGACAGAGAAATGGTGTGCCACCCCTCTGCTTGGTATTTCTATGATGGAAACGATGTTAGGTAAGATGGAGTCCATGTTTTCTTTTTGATTGTAGACAATAGTCTTCTGTGTTTGAAATAGAATTTAACAAATCTATGATTAATAAGTTTACAAATTATGATTAATGAGTTATCATGTTTAAAATGCTTATTATTTTATAAAGTGCTATTATCATAAAAAGAAAGATTCTTTATAAGATTTATAAGAAATAACGACACATACTCAAATATACTACAATTTGGGTTTGGGAGAAAATTACTAACAAGTTACAGCAAGGAAGAGGAATTGGACTGGAGAAAAAATTCAACGATAGTTACCAGTCCTCAGACACTAACCTTGATTTCTGGAAATCACTTCAGATGTTGAAACATTTCATAAATAATTACTTTTCTAGTATCTTATTCTTCCCAAATGTTTAGAAATCGATTTTCTTCTTAATTTCCACATCTAGCAACATCAAAGACTCTCTCCTCCAATGTATCCATTATTTTATTTGATTATCTGTTTTGATCTTGTTACCTCTACTCTGTTGATTAACATCTTTCTGTTCCTCGTTGTAATTTATTTGTCATTTTCTTCTGCATCTTTGAGTTTCCTTCTTTCATTCTTAGTTTCAACTTTGAAGCTATATTTTAACTGTCGATTCTAAATTATATCATATGTCTGTTGTTCCTATATGTTCATTTGATGAAGCTTCAAATTCAAATATTACAAATCAAAATCTTCAAAGTTTATTCATATCGAGCTCTTATTTCATTATAAAGGGACTCAATTCATAATATTTTATGAAATTCTATTAGAGCTTGGTATAGACCAATTAAAAGGCAGATTAGATAGTGATACTAAGAGAAATTTTAGTGAGTTTGATTAATTTAACTTGATGTTAATACTTTCCTCTTTAGTGTCTTTAAAGAAGAAAGGTATGTGCTTTGCCTTTTTCGTAAACTACCATTTGGCAAAATATATAAAATTTCATCATTCATTTGAACTGTTCACACAATGGATTTTTATAATGTGTCTCTGTTTAGCTCTAAGCTTTCGTAGCGCATGCCAAATACTTATTTTTTTCAAAACTTCTTTTATCGCGAACTTTCAAAATGTTTAATATTTTTTTTCAGATAATTTTTTAAACATAATGCAACGGGTTAATGCATTGGTTCTATATAATACATGGATACATGATACTATGGATACATGAAATATCCAAACATTCTCATTGAAAAAAGGAATCGTTATGATGTAGTTTTCCTTTTAAAGATCAAAATAAATGAAAGCTTAAAATAATGAATAAGCTTAAAATTAAAATGTTAATAATAATGTTAATAATAAATAAAGTTATAAATGTATTGTTTGTCTATAAAATATTCTTTAACTCCCATTTAATGGAATTTCCCAGATAGAATGCCACCAGATGCATAGCAACCAGATAGAATGATTAGATTAAATTTTATTTCGATAGAATCGGAAACTAAATCCGTGACACAAAATCTCTATTCATGCGATAAAACATTTTGAGATATTAAAACTAAACACTTCTTAATTTAGTTATAGCAAGTCGTTCATCGTAAAGAGATTAAATCTGATTGAGGAAAATGAGGAGAATGAGAGAAGCGATCAGAAAGCAGAGCATCTTAATTTAGAAGTAAACATTTTGATTTAATTTGTTTAAATCAAAATTTTAAATCAATGTAATTTTTCGTGTAGAGTATAATTGTAAGTAATTAACAATATTCCACAACATGAGTAGTTTGTTGCTTATTTATTTATTTTTTTTTTTTTTAGAGTTCGGATGTGCACTACAGTTGATATGGTTAACTTAGCCACAGTGCATCATGAAATTGGACACATAGAATACTACTTGCATATGAAAGATCTTCCTTTGAATAAGAGGCATGGAGTTCATCCAGGTATAATTTCTTATTTAGGGAAATATTATAAAAAATGGAATTTTTTACATTTAACTAAATTTAATTGCAACTTAATCTCTTAAATCCCTTAAAAATAAAATAAAGAATCTGCCGATAGTAACTCGAGAACTGACGAGTTACTATCGGCAGTTTTCGAGTATTAGTTATTTCATAATTTGTCCATATTAACAGCACTATGAATAGAAACATAAATATTAACACGGAAACTGTTATTTTTTATTAATCAAAATTAAGTGGTGGTGGTTAAGGAATAGAGCACTCCCCTCCCAATAAGGCGACCCAGGTTCGAATCCCAGCGATGACTGCTCGATACACCTTCTTGACCACAGTGCTAACGTGAAATATATTCAGTGGTAAGTTGACCATAGAGTCCTCTTGTCTTGTCGTAACTGCGGGAAATTTTAGTATTTTTCCTTTTCATGTAAAGCAAATACGGAATATTTCAATCCAGAATTGGTTTAGCGATACCAGATTCCAGGAGTTCCCTTGTCTTTTGGGTTTTGGTCAGGTTCAAATCCCAGCGAGAGTTGCTCGATACGAATTCTCGACCATAGTGCTAACATAAAATATACCCAGTGGAAGATGGATCCATCAGGCTAATCGTGGTTTTCTTCTCCATGTAACACAAAAAGCGGGTAAATTTCATCAAATATTCCTCCATGAAGTTAAATTTCTCCCAATACTTCATACGGGAGTTCCCTTGTCTTCTGAATTGGGTTCGAAATTATAAGGCTATGGAGATAAATATTGGTAGTCGAAATCTCTAAAGTGGGTCGGCTTTTTAAATGACGTTTATAAAATAAAATTAATCAAAATTGAGCAGCGATGACTCAGGAGATAAAAGTTTGCCACCACCTGATTTAAACCAGGTTCAAATCTTGCACATCTTCTATAAGAAGTATTCTGCACTTGGCTCGCATGAACCACAGTGCTAACGTAAGATGTACGCAGCACGTAACGCAAATATGGAATATTTCTATCAAGAATTGGTTTAGTATTTAATCATCTTGAAATATTTCTCCTGTACAGTTTGCTATATCTTTCATATGCGGATGCATGGATGCCCCTTCCATACATGATATCATAAAAGGTATAATCAAGGAAGTAGTTTCTTAAGTATAATGCCATGTATTACTTTTAGTATGTACTTGAATCAGATAAAATTTACATTTACAATGGCTAGAAGTAACTATTAATAAATAGTATGTGACACTACTTCAAAATAGAAAACTATATGTGTACTTAATTGAGTCTATTCATGTTTTATGCATGTCATGAGTTTTGTGCAAGCGCCGCTACCTTCGGGGAAAAAATTTTTCTGTTAAGATTATTACTAACAAAACTTAAATTACAATAACATACTACCGTAGAAAAACCCGTAATAAATGCTTTCACGTTTTGTTTTTGTGTTGTAATGCCATCTTAAAACAAATCATTTACTCGATTTAATGAAAAATGATGTAATGTCTTGATTATTTTTTATATAAATGATGCTTTATAAAGAAAAAAAAATAATCTAGCGGCTAGAAAATGTAAATATTTATAGAGTAAAAAATATTTGTTTACTCTATAAATATCCAGCATTATGTTTAAAAGCCCTCTGCTATCAGTTTTACCAATTTCTAACAGTGCAAAATCTTTGTGCTAACAGTGTAGCAAAAATATATTTCTCTGCCTGGTGACCTAATTTATTAAAACGTCATGAAATCTGTATTTTTTGTTAGCCAGCATATATGTAATTAAGCTGCAATTTCAATAATTGCGATGTTCCAGCACCACTTCGCACACCAACCCCCGTGATTGCTTATCACTGTTTTTTTCTTTTTCTAAAATCACCTTTTTCAAACAGCAATGATCATTTTGGTAATGAAATATATTGTAATTAGGAGGCTTCGCCCCCAGCTCGCTGGCGCTCGCCGGGGGTTGGTAGCATGATTTTGTAGCTCCCCAAACAAATTTTATATTTGTTCAGTAATCAGTCTCTCTCTAACAAAACATTTTTGTTAGAGAGAGATTATTTAATTGTTTCTCACTTTTGCTTTTAGCATTTCAAGAAGCTGTTGGTGACGTGATAGCTCTCTCAGTAAGAACCACTGATTATTTAGAACGAATTGGTCTTTTAGAAGAAGCTACAGACGATCCAGGTAATTTGATCTACATGGCCAAGAGAAAAACCAACATTTATTATTTTAAAAATAGAGTTCAATGTAAATAAAACCATTTAATAGTTGTAAAAGAAGTATATACATTCAAGTAAAATATGAAACTATAATTGCATTTTTCTTCTTGATTACGATTTTCTTTTCTATTTAGTCAGGGTTCTTTAATGTTACATAAAATATTTATGCTGAGTTTACTGAAATAAAAAGATACATATAAATTAGTTTAAAAGAGTAAGTCTTAAGTAAATAATATCATAGAATCTATAATATTGTTTACTTCCGATTTAAAATCTTTAAGTAATTAGTTATTTTAATTTTATTTATTTCTAGTAAATGCAACTAAAGCTTTTATGTAATAAACATAAAAATTTGTAAAATAATACATCAAAGAATTTTAAAAACTGACTCATTGTTGATTTTATATAGATAATTCCTGAAATATAACTAGAACATTATTTTAGCAATTTCAGTGTTAAAAATTTGAATATAATTTAAATAAAAATTAATTTCTAATATTTAATATCTATGGTAATTAGTAATTCCGAACTTAAAGCTTTTACTGCAGGAAAATCGTTGTTTCCTTTTGATATAGACTATTTAATATTTAGTAAGAAACAAGAGTTACTGATACAATTATTTATTATACTATTAAAATTTTAATTTAGAACAAATATTTTGTACTAATACTCTAATTTCTTTGTTCTACAGAAACTGAAATCAATAACCTACTTTACGTGGCATTGGATACAATAGCATTTCAGCCATATGGATTGATCGTAGACCTTTGGCGATCGACTATCTTCAATGGGTCTACAGACAAAAGTGAACTCAATAAAGCTTGGTGGAAATTAAGGTAATGCATAAAAATACGCCTGTTTGCTTTTAATTTATACTTGTACATAACTATTTATTAGCGGAACCTAGTACTTCGAAAGCAATTTTGTTGCAACATGATATATATATATATATATT